TAACGAACTACTTGTTTTCTAAATGAAAGTTAGTGAAACAGCGTTGCACACGCTCAGGTGTACAAAGAGTCGGCAAAGTACAAAGTAGAACAATAACTTAAGATTTCTAGCTGTTAACTGAAAAGAGGCTACTGTTAGGTTTTTTTTCTGTAATTTTCCAAATAATAAAGAAATGCCTGTGCAACGGCGAATTTTCTCATAACATATAATTATTGTAAACTTATTTGTCAATTTTTAGATAAGTATTTAGTATTTAGTAATAAGTATTCAGTGTAGGCGAATCGACTCAGATTGTGTAGGCGAAACGACTTCGGTCGTGTATGCAAAACGACTTCGATGTAGGCCAAACGACCGGTTACCGTTTTAATTGTTGTACGACTTGTGACTTCCTCACTTGCTTTAATATTTACTTTGTTAACGGCACAGTTTAGGATAATTGAGTAAACGGTAGTTTATGCAACTACACGCTCAATCAATAAATATATATAGACTCGGTGACTTCGACTACGCAGGGGTTACGTGAAAAAAAGGTTCAATACATAGTTTTCAAAGTTTTTCAAACACGATCGGCGATCGATCAATCAACGGACTTTGTTTGACTTTGCTGCTACGCGAGTACAACAAGTGAATAATGAACAACACTTCTACACGCGCAATCAAACAAATATATTAAGACTCGTGGCTCTTTAACTACGACAACGTTAAATAATGAAATGTTTTAAGGGTAGTTCATACTCTACAGGGTAAAAAGGCATGGATGGATTGCAAAGTTTTTTAAGCACGGTCGGCCATCGATCGATCAACGGACTTTGTTTGACTTTGTTATTATGCGAGTGCAAAAAGTGAATAATGAACAACACTTCTACCCACGTAATCAAACAAATTTATTTAGACTCAATAACTATTCAAAAGCGTTTCCCTGTAAGAACCGACCCCTCAAATTTTCGTGGAAAATGGATTGCCTTCATTTTTCTCTAGACAAGGCAAGCAACGTATGCAATGAACGAAAATTCAACTTTTGTGTAGAAATGACGAATCTCGTACGTTAACTGAAATGCGCTTTTAATTTTCTCAGCGAGCTTTTTGACATTACCTGATTAGATTTATTGAGTTTTAATGTCTGGAGATTTCGATGAGACTTATTTTACACCAAAATATCGGGAAATTTTTCAAGCCTTGCTTTGCTTTTGACTTCTACTACTTATCGTCACCGACCGTTCCGTCACGCATCACGCATTCTTGGTTGAAGTAGGCGTTGATTTAAAATCTCGTAATCCCATAGAAACGAGCAGCCCTCCTGTATTTCCAGGCTTTCAAAACACGGTATGTGCTTGCTTCAATGCAAACGAATCAAGCAGGATGGCTTTTTACAGCACATGTTTTTTATCACTTTTAAGCCATGGTTACCCATAAGGGATTTTCTGCAAGGGTGTTTGGCTACCAGTGTCCATTATATCGCATTGTGTTGGTTTCTGTGTGCGCGCACCTTCACATTTCATTCAAGATGAGCCAAGCCGAGCCAAGCCGATGAGACGAGTTTGATTACAAAATCAAAGATCAAATGATGCAAAAATGCCTTTGGAAGCCAGGTTTCTTAAGATGAAAAGTTAAGCAAGGGCTTGAGAGACTTGCTCTGCCGGAAGGTCGTACTGCACAGTTTAACGAAAGAAGTTGTTGTTCACAATGGAGACCGTGCAACCATGGAAGGTGAACGACTGTGGAAAATTGTTGTTTGACTGCTGATAAACTTGGGATGTCACGGCAGCAGAAGAGCCGGATGGATAATTCTCCTTCTGCATTTGAATCTGAACATCGGAGCGATTCCGGATAGCTAGCGGTTGGAGTGATGATTGCACTCCAGATACGAATCCGCTCAAAATATCCGACATGTTTTCGTCCTGGGGAAAGATGCTCTAGCGTTGTAAGATTCAATGGAGCTGTCTGACTTGTGGCCTGTAATTGCCTTAATGTGTCTTGCTTCTACATTACGATCAGATAAAACCGTCACTGCTGTGGCTCTCACACAGTGGTTTGTAAGATGCTGAGTGATACTAGTTGCCGTACTCATCGTTTTCATCATATTGGCGAGTGTTGATTCTCCTAGTGGTGAATTACAATACAGCGAATTCTAATCAACACCACGAGGTTTCCAAAATGAAAAACAGAGAATTTAATATTAACATTCACCCTTGAAATTAAGATTGAACAAACTTAGGAAGTTAAAAGTGACAAACTTAATTTGAATCTCTTCATATTTCCGAAATTGATGTGACTAATAGAAAGGGAAAATTATCCCATGAATAGAAAGTAACAAACTGAAACTCCATTACTGAAAAATAGTTCAGCTGGCTAGCTTCCGTGGAAACTAATATACGGAAGCGAAACTCAAAAGGACAAGATAACGAATTATTTGTCTACTAAATGAAAGTTAGTGAAACGACGTTGCACACGTACAGATGTACAAAGAGTCGGCAATGTACAAAGTAGAAAAA